GGTTTGTAATGCTGGTAGAGCAATTTCTGATCTTTTGGTTCTACTTCAGAGCCTCACAGAGGATCCAAACATCCTCTATAAGCAATGATGTGCACAGTGGACTTATACAGTGACAGGAATAAAATAATCCCACCTGCTGTATACAGCCTTTAGGTGATCTGGTTTGACTCAGCGTTAGGATGTGCCTGCGTGTAAAATTGCCCCGCACAATTATTCAATCTCGTGACAACTATTCAGTTTGCAAAGCAAAAATAATCCTGTGATTGCCCTGTAATTAGCTGATAGTTGCTAATCAATTACATCTGCGGAGCTTGCCTTCCATCGAGGAGGTGCGTGGAGGTGATTTACGGGGAAGGTGCGGTGCCTGCCCCGAGCAGCCTACAGACCTCCAGCTCCGCTTCCCTGGGGCTGGAGGGAGAAATATGGGACTAAACTCTTGATTGGAGCCGGGTGGTGGGAGATGGACATCTCTCCCACCAGCTACAGCACCATCAGGGTGTGGGTAGGACACGAATCCTCTTGTTGGGAGGGGGGTTAATGCTGAACAGGCTGGCGGCAAAAGTTTGTTTGAATGAATCCTGAGTGAAGAAAGCAAACTCATTCCCAAAATATTTGGATAAATATTCCTGTTGTCACTTGTCCCCTGGAGATTCAGCACAGCCAGGGTGGCTTCCTTCACCGGGGTGGTTTGACACCCCTGCAATAGAAATAAGTGTAAAGTATTGTGTATTCTACAGGTGTGTATTTACCTTGATATTCCTCCTTTCCTGAAGGGATGAGGGTTCCAGGCTACCCGTTGGCAGTGGGGGTTTGCTCTCCTGTCATGCAGCTGGAAATGTGGCGGTGTCAGAGTCTGGGATATTTCCAACTGGTTAGAAAAAAAGGGATTAGCAAATATCTTTGAATAACAGCAAAAATCAGGCAGAGTCCCTAATTTCTGGACGCGCACTCACCAAACTCTCCCAGAGCATCCTCGGCTGGAGCTTGAAGGTTCTTTCGGCACGCAGAGGAAGGGATGATTTTGCAATATTAGGAGCAGTGCTGGGAAAACTGAAGGGAGACGTGAAGCTACCGGCAGGTTTGAAGCAGAGTTTGATAAATATTTCTGCTGTGAAAGAGGGAAGACATGATGGGAATAGAGATGTGTCCGTGAGAAGTTAGGCAGGAGTTTAAAGGGAAGGCTGACAAGCTTGAGCGTGATGCTGCAGGGGAGAAGCTTATTTTTGAGAGAGATGGGGGGGAAAAGGATGGAAATGTGATGGAAGAGGGAAAGGGACAAACCCTGAGGTTATGAACCACGCTCGAGGGAGCAAGAAGGGGGAGGTTTGGGGACCTCCCTGAGGTTACAAACCATGCTTGAGGGAGCAAGAAGGGGGAGGTTTGGGGATCTTTGGGTGGAAAAATGTGTGGTTGGGTGCAAAAACATGTCACCTGCCCAGCCAGTCATGAAGCCATGGTCCCACGGCTCTGATCCCGGGCGGCTGCTTCCAGCTCAGCTCTGCAAGCACCGAGGACCATGATCCAGCCAGGAAAAGCCTGGGGAGTGGGGCTGGATGAAATCCATCCTCCTCACCTTCCTCCTTCCCTCTCTACCATCCCCACCTCCTACGAAGAAAGATCCCCACAACGCCATTAAAATGTCTTGTGTCGATTGGAAATTCATTGTTCGCTAAAAGCTAATCAAAGAGCGGGTAAACACAATGGCCCCCTTCTCCCCCCAGCCTGACGTTTCATTTACACAAGAGCTCAAGCCCTGGCACCGGCGCTGCCACGCAGCCGTCAAGCATTGATTGTGCTATTCAGCGGGATGGCTCAATAATTACAGCCCCGGATCTCCAAACCACACCAAAGAGCAGGCTTACCACTGCTCGCCTTTGTTACTAATTGTCCTTCAGGATACTTGAGATGAATTACAGTGGCTTACATTTTCCTGTTTTTCCTTTCTCTTGGGCTTAAAAAAAAAAAAATAAATAAATAAAAAAATAAAAAAAAGAGAGAGAAATCTTCCCACTTAGCGGAGCTGGACGGATCAGACAAGTGTAGCGTTGACTGTTGACAGCACTTCATAAGAAAACCCTCTGACTGCAAACTGTCTCATTGACATGTTCAGCTTGACACGTGGGATTGATTTTTGATTGTTTTACGAAGCTCGCTTCTGCATGTTTTCATTACCAAGGCTGGGCAGTTTTCATACTAACACTTACGAAATGTTAGAGCTATTAATATAATTTGATATCATCTATACCGCATCTAATTGTAACGAGTAATCCACCAAATGAAGCCTCTTTCACCAAAGCTCTCCAAAATGGATTGCACTTCTGATTATTCTTCCAGTTCGTTTCGTTTGGGAGCGCTTGAAACAGTAGCAAAATTGTTGTAGTTGGAGATGTTTAATCCTGCTAGTTGTCAAGACGGAATCAGGGCCGAAAGTTTTATATCGAAGAGAGGTGAATGTGATCAGAGCTGAATCCGTGCTTATTCCCAGGGACTTCATTGGGAACTGGATCAGCTCCCACAGAACCAGTGCCAGGCTGCAGTAGATTCCCCACACTCGTGGGCCATTTGGATGGATGCTTATCCTTCATTTGTTAAATCTTCTGCCCCCAACCATCCCTGCCATCACCCCCATGATCCCATGCCCAGCCTCCAGGCTCTGACCCACCCTCTCCCTTGTTCTTTCCCATCTTTCTCCAAGGATCCTGCTCATCATAAGCCTCCCCGATCCTCCAGAAACCCCCGAGAGGAGGTGTGCTGGAGCTTGCTCTTCCCTGTGGAATCATCCTGCTCCCGTTGACCCCAGGGAGAGTTTTTGCCCAGCAATGGTCTGGAGCTGATCCAGACTGCCCCAGAAATTTAGGAGGAACTTTCCTTCCTTCTGAGACAGGTTGAAGACATGGGTTATGGTTGAGTAATGAGACTGCAGAGGGGGGCTCGCCCGTATAGAGAATAAGCTCCTTCTGCTGCTCCTGTTGAGAAGATATCCCTTGGAAAAAATACTGCTTGCACTGCCTTTGCCTTTTTTGAAATGCAGTACATAAAGAGGAGGAATGAAACCATCTTAGCTGAATTTTAGAAGATGGAGTCCCACAGTCCATATGTGAAATTGCAACTGGTTTTGCTCCCGCGCTCGCTGTGTTTGCAGCCAGTGGGATCACCCAACAGGAGCTGAGAGCCTCACAGTGACCAGGTGGCCTGGATTTCACAAGATTGTCCTTTTTTTTTTGTCTCCAGTCACAGGAGAAAAAAAAAAAAATCATTTCCCATCACTATTCCCCCCATTTTTCCCCCAGTAAATTAAAATGTAATATTCCTTGGTGCCACACATCATTTTTCTGAGCCCGAGCTACGATTACCCCAGTTTCCATCAGCTGGGCAGGGGCTGGGAATTTCCACTCGTGAACAAATGCCCTTCTTGCTTTGCTTTTTATAAAAAAGCGTGGCCCTAAATAGTGTGTAAGCGCTCTCCTGCGACTGTGCGCTCTCCTCATAACCCTTCCACTCCAGCAAAGTGATTGTCTGAACTGAAATCGCTTCACTGAGATGATTAAATTAGTTCCTACATGCCAGAGATGTACAGAGGTCTTGACATTTATATTTGGGTACTAGAGTCTGACATTCAAATGCGTTCGTGTTTGAAAACAGCGTAATTTAAAAAGTAGCATAAAATCCATTAATATAATAGGGAGAGAGGGCGATGCTTTAATTTGTTTGGGGCTGTGCAAAATGATCATTTCCCGGGGCTGCGGCGAGGGCAGCCCTGCGCTGCCTGGGCTGTGTGAGACGTGCTCTTCCCAGCATCTCCCAGTTTCACCAGCTCCCGTCTGCTGGGGTGAAAAATTAAACTCACGGAAGCTGGGAGAAAAATCAACCTTGGGCTGCAAAGGGCTGAGATGCTTCTAATCGCAGTAGCTTTATTTTGATGTGATATAATGCACTCTTTCCTTCCTGCGGCTGGGCTGTCAGACCAACTAAGCACACGGGTTAAAGCTCCAAAAAACGGGCAAAATAAACAATTAATGACGTTCTCGGGGATCCCAGCGAGTGAAAAGCCACACCACCTATGCAGGCAGCTTATCACAAATTCACCCAGCACCCCGACAAAGAGAATCTGACCCCACACTAAATTGTGTCGTACGTGATGAGGATGCTGTAGGCTGGTGGTTGCCATTATTTAAAAACCAAAATTCTATGGTTTTTTAAATTATTTTTGCCCCAATGATACACTTCTTTAATATGTATATTAAAGTCCTCTTTGTGAATCCAAATCCCATTGTTTTATCACGGCTTGGATACCCCAGCAGACACTCTCTTTCGCCTGGAAATAGGATTTTTGACTTTAACTCAGAGCAGCATTGCTACTTTTCGATGTTATTTTGAATGAGTGAATGCAAATCACATTATTCAATTTGCAGAAGCTGTTTCATTCATGATGTGACATTAGCATCTGGTACCTAAAGGAAACGTTCTTCACCAACTGAAATAAAAAAAAAATTAAAAAAAAAAGGCTGATAAATTCCTGAGAACAAATTCCCCACAACGCCTACGGCGCAGCAGCCCAGGAGTTTCTTTCTTTTGCATCAAACCAGAACTCTGCTGGGATATTGATGTTTTTCCCAGGATGTCCCTCTAATGTGGGGGGAAAAAAGAACTGTAAAGATCTAGTCTGAAGCCCATGAGCCTGCACGGCCCAGTGGAAGGGAAGAAGGAGCCTGTGACAAACGTGAGTGCCCACATTTTGCTGGTGTGTGCCTGCACATATTTATTATTCTCATCTGCAATATTGATGACCGAGGATCGATCTCACTGCACATGCGTCCTCCTCCTCCTCCTCCTCCTCCTCCTCCCCGCATCCCTTCCCCTTGACTTGCGCAGCTGAAAAACGCTTGGGTTTTTTGTTTTGGTTTGTTTTGTTTTGGGCTGATAAATTCCTGAGAACAAATTCCCCACGACGCCTACAGCGCAGCAGCCCAGGAGTTTCTTTCTTTTGCATCAAACCAGAACTCTGCTGGGATATTGATGTTTTTCCCAGGATGTCCCTCTAATGTGGGGGGAAAAAAGAACTGTAAAGATCTAGTCTGAAGCCCATGAGCCTGCACGGCCCAGTGGAAGGGAAGAAGGAGCCTGTGACAAACGTGAGTGCCCACATTTTGCTGGTGTGTGCCTGCACATATTTATTATTCTCATCTGCAATATTGATGACCGAGGATCGATCTCACTGCACATGCGTCCTCCTCCTCCTCCTCCTCCTCCTCCTCCCCGCATCCCTTCCCCTTGACTTGCGCAGCTGAAAAACGCTTGGGTTTTTTGTTTTGGTTTGTTTTGTTTTGTTTGTTGTTGTTGTTGCTGTTTGGGTTTTGAGCAGCGAGCAAAATGCCCTGATGTTAATGCCGCATCATTTTCCCAGGTGGGGAAAAAAAATTAAAAAAAAAAAAATAAAAACAGAAAGAAAATAAACAAATCAAACCAGCAGACAGAGGAATCAGGGCAGGCCACTGCAGTCTATAGCAAACGGGGCTGGGAGATGGTGTTTCGGCTGTTGGGAGCGGGTCGGTGGAGGGGAATAGATTGTGAGTGCTAAATATGAGGATTTTATTATGCAGGGGAGCCCTCATTTTAAAGGGGTGGGATAAAACCGCATTCGGGATCAAAATCAGTCTTCAAAATAGTGAAAATTCCTCACATGGCTAGGACGACTGGTATCTCTTTTTTTTGGAAAAGCAACTCTTAATTAATTGGGAAAAAATTGGCACAAGAATAAGTGAGAATATACGTATGTATACGTGGGTGTGTGTACATACACATAATACACTTATTTATTATGCACATGCTGGAGTGTGTGTGTGTATGATAAGAATAACGAGCTATAACAAAAATGAGGGGACAATTATTCTGATCTTTTGTAACCCATCTCGGCTGCGTAAATTATCATTTTGAGCAGTCTGAAACAGAAAACTAAGCATAATAGACTATAGGGAGGCATATTTAAAAAATAAATTAAGGAATAAAATGCATAGAGACAGAATGCCATGTTTTGTTATGTCACTCCCTGCCTGCCTTTCTTCAGGAGAGAGATTTCAAATTAAATTCAAAGACTGTACTTTTAAATAAACAATGAAAATTGAAAATAGGCTTCCTTGTTAAAATATATATATATTTCTTCTCTTTTTTTTTTTAAGTAATGCAGTACTGTGTCAGTAAAAAAAAAAAGAAAAAAAAAAGAGGAGGGCATTAGGTATTAGGATTCCGAACGGGATAGTACATCTTTAATGATACATATGATAATTAAAGAATACAATAAACACAATTAGCATATGTTTTAAACAGTTTATTAGTGAAGCTTACCATAAAATCAGAATATATAGAGCTCCAGGGTTTGTTGGGATAACAGCTTCTAATCCTTAGAGTCATAAAATCCCTGGCTTGGAAGAAATGGGCATCTTTAAAATGATTGAATCAGCAGGCCTCGAGTGAAAACACACAAATTAGCAAACTCCAGCAGTTGGGCACTGCGCGATGCTGCAATGCACGGAGGTGAAGTCATCGCTGACACTGCCCCAGCAGCTCTGATAGAGCACAGCAGGGATGTGGTGCTGCTGTGGACATCCGAGGAGATAATTACTTTAACTCCTTCCAGACCAGGGATACCCAAAAAATAACATCATCATAATTTAAAAAAAAAAAAAAAAAAAAAAAAAGAGAGAAAAAAAAAAAGTCACCTTTATTTTGCAAATAGTCACCATGGGGAGGAACGAATGTCTGAATTAGTGATGGGTATAAAGGAAAAGGGACTTCAAAAAAGAAGGGGGGTTTGGTCTGTCCATCCTCCCTCCCTCCCAGCCCTCCGGCCACGGCCCCGCAGTGTGACCTGGGGGACCCAGAGGTGGGTGGCCCCCACCCAGGGCAGCACTGAAACCCAAAGGACTCCCCACGGGCATTACTGGGAGTTTGGAAGTTGAATAATGGAGTTAACCAGTCTGGACAGGGCTCTGACAGCGCTCTCAGGCAGCCGGCAAATAACACTCTGTTTCCTGCTCTTTCTGCTCTTCTTTTCCCCATGTCCATATTCTGCCTTTATCTCTCCATTTGTTTCCATCTAAATTCAGGGCAGCGTGAGCTGTTGGGGTGGGTTTTTTCTGCTATGATTAACAAATAAGCTCTTTACGTTCATCGCCCCACCGTAGAGATAATTTCTTCCCTCTTTTGTTATCTGTTTGTTTGTTTGGAGGGGGCGAGGGTGGGTTTATTCCTGCAGCTCAGATATTTTGGGGTTTTTAAGAGCAGCAGGGAAGGCTTCGGATGAGAGTCGGTGTGGGCTGGAAGGAACGAAGCTCTGCTGAGGTTTTTTGAAGGGAAGGGGCAAATTGTCAACTTTATAATGAATCCTCATCAGACGTGATGACTTCCCAGCTCTGCAGCAAGGGAGAAGAATAGCAGTCAAGCGATGTTTGAACACATTCTTATGGGGAAATTGGAGTGTTTGGATCCTGAAATTAGATCTGAAGACAGCCAAACATCTCCATAAAAATGGGAGCTTCACTCAAATGAAGGCATTTCGAGTTTGCTCAGCTCCCGGTCTGATCGGAACAAATTCAATCACAGCTCAGCACAGAGCGAGCGGTTTGCGGTCCCTGCTGCCTGGCAGAACGGGTGGGCATGAGAGAGGCTGCCTGCTAATTTGGGTGGTCGGGAACATAGTCTTCTGAGTCATCTTAAACATGCAAGGAATACTGAAAACACCCGGCGTGCGTGGAGACACTGCCTCGCTTTACATTTCTCCCATGGCTTGGGATTTGGGCCGATATTATTTTCCTTAAGGTCTCCCTGAGACTCCCAGTCCAGGAGATGGATGCACTGTGTAGTAGCAACGCAAATGCACGGCGTACACCACGCTTTGCCCCATAGATATTAGTCTCTTTTTGCATAGCCACTCTTTGCCCCATAGATATTAGTCTCTTTTTGCCCCACAGTAGCCTAAATACAAAAGGAACGAGCTGGAGGAGAAATGAAGGTCCAAAAAAAAAGATGAAGTGACTTCCCCAAGGTCAAACAGCAGGACGGTGGCAAAGGCAGGAATATAAACATGAATTATATTGTCACGCTGCTAGGGGAAAAGGTTGAAATGCAGCTCATTTTTTTTTTTTTTTTCCTGTAGTTTAGACCCAGCTTGACGTATTTGACCTCCATTCAGCTGGCCAAGGTCTGGGGAAAGAAATACAAAAAATAGGATTCTCTGGCTACTCTGGGGAAAGACAGGGAGGTAAACTGAGGTGTGTCGTGGGTTCACTCCGCAGCTTCCCCTGGTTGGAGCGAGCCAAGGGGTGAGGCAGGGTCTGGTTGAGTTGTTTTTCTGTCAACTTCATTGGTTTTGAGTTTGTGTTTGAAGGGACAAAGAAATTTGGCCCCGCAGCCTGGGAGGAAGGGAGGGGATGGAACTGCACCCATTTTTTCCTGCTGTGTTTCCCTGTGGACATTCCCACTCTCGCTCGCCAAGCACCGGAGTCAGCACAGGACGAGGAGCTTTGGTCACAAGACCTGAATTTTAGCTCCATCTCTATTTTTTAGCAGAGGAACTGGGCAGAGCATTCCCAGCCCATCCCCAGGGAAGGGCAGAGGAGCAGCAGCTTGGCATTCTGCTCCGGGGGGGGGGGATTTCAGCCTGGAAAAATCCTCACCCAGGGCTTGTCCTTACCTGGAAGAAGGTTCTGTTGACCCACATCCCCACCTGGGCTCTACACGCTCCTGCTGGGGAAGAATTTATTGTCTGGGAGGTGTAATGGCACAAGCAGCCATCTGATTATGGCACGTAAAGCCTGCTGGCACCCAGGTGTTAAAGAATAATAGAGGTGCCAGCTGTAACTCACCCAGAGCCAGCGGCACAGGAGGGCACCCATCCCTGTTCCCTCGTCCCAGTTGCCCCCCCTGTCCCCTGCCAGGGCTCAAGGGGCACTGGGGTGAAATTGCAACACTCAGGAGAATAATATCCCCCAGAAAAGAGCAGTTGTCTCAGTAAGAACGAATCCGGATCAAAATTGGAGACAAAATTTAGTGTCGCCTTCCCCTCCCTCCTCCTGCCATTGTAGAGAGTTCCACGGCATTTCCTAAACCTGAGATTTTAAAGAAAATGTTTTAAATAACAATGTGTGCACTGGTCTCTTTTTCACCCAGGTATAAGCACTAACACACTTTATTTTTTTTAACCACCCAAGCACGTGGCACAAGCTTTTTTTGCATTTTGAATATGAGGTCAATTTAGCATCTGCAGAATATTTTCCTGTTCACTTTCCATTAGCATTTTACATTTATTAGTGAGAAACTCAGCAATGGCGGGTACCTAATTCAGCTAAAAACTAATTCCACACTGAATATTTGACTAAGAGGTTGACTTTAAACTGTGTTAGTTATTTTTATAGATATTCTAAAAATAATACCATAGGGTTTATTACCTAACCCGTATCACACATAATTTGACATTTGAATGTTGAGGGTGCGTACATGTGTTAAAACAGTGAGAAAATATGCACAGAAATTTTTCAAGACTTCTTTAAAATAAAAATAAAAATAAAAAAAAAACCCAGAAATGTATTATGTGCCCCAACTGCACTGCAAATTGAAAAATTGAGAGTGGTGGGTCGCCTGTACACAGACATTTATTAGCTGGGTTCCTCTGCGCAGACTTTTTAGGATGCTCTATCACGGATTAATGTCTCTCAGCAAAGAACGTGCTATAAAAAAAATAAGGAAGGCAACTGATAAAATTAATGAAACAAATCATTGTTGAAAAGCATTTGGTGAGGTGTGAATTTTGAAAGCTAGTTTCCTAATACAATATTTGTAAAATAAACAGAAATTAATACCCATTAATATTAACATAATTATCTTAACTGAGAATGTTGAACTGTTGCCTGTTTTGTTCTTTTCAACTGCAGCGTCTCACTACAACTGTTTTTGTAGCTGGGGAATAATCTGCTTGTGTACGCTGTAATGACACAAGAAATAAAACGTAATAAAAGGAATAAAATCTGAATTCCCATCTCAGCAAAGAGTAATTCCACAATCCATATTATTTTTTTTTTTTGGTGGCTTTCCTATAAGGTGAATAGTTCTGCATGGCTTTATTTCCTAGACCCATTTTCACTGCCACCTTGGGTTGGGCTCAAGTGAGAAAGTGATTCTATATTATTTTTTTTTTTTGGTGGCTTTCCTATAAGGTGAATAGTTCTGCATGGCTTTATTTCCTAGACCCATTTTCACTGCCACCTTGGGTTGGGCTCAAGTGAGAAAGTGATTCTGCTTAACACAAAAACCTTTTCCTACAGCTTAAAATTACCTTGAGTGATCCTAAATTTCCTAAATCCTGGGAAGGTGATGGGAGCGGGTGAAGCACACGCCATTCCTGCTGTCCCCCTTCCACCACTCCCCATGGGACAGCCCCTTCTCTCCACCTTTCCCACCAGGGAGGATGGCTTCCCAGGTGGGTATCCCAAATTTTGCGTGCACATCAGAAGCAAACTTCAGATCTTCCCAGCTCCGTGCAGATCTGCCTTTCGGATCCGCCAAAATGTGAAAAAAATGCGACATTTTCCATGAGAAATGGCTTATTTTTAGTTCTGCAGATACCGCAGTAGCTCGCGAAGGAAACCAGCCACTATGTGGACTGAAGTAAAAATACTGACACCTCACAAAGTTAAACCACGGACAGGAAAAAAAGGGAATTTCTTCTTTTAATGACCAAAGCAACATGACACACCTTTGCATCCTGGTGGTTTATTAGGCTGTAATCCACAGAATTCGAAGGTCCTGGTGCTGGGTGGTGCCCATGGGTGAAGGGATGGGGCAGGACAAGCCCGATCCATCCCTTGGGGTTTCAGACCCCTCGGTGGTAAAATGAGGGAGCAGCTTTATGGTGAGGAGGCCTCCACTTTCAGGATGGGGCAGCTTTAGCTTTGGCTTCAAGAAGACTCCAGCTCTAATTTAGGTCCCATGTTAGTGCCTCCACGCCTGCCCACACAAAGGGGGCAACATATGGTTTACACGGGATCCTGTCTTTGAAGCGAAGTGAAACGCTGAAGATTTTCTTAGCAAATATCTCCTTTTAAAGACCTTTTCATCTCATGGAGATGTGAGTTAGTGTCTGCCCGCTGCATCGCCACTAACTGTTGTGTGCAGTGTCCATCAGGTCCGATCCAGAGAGGCTGGAGTTACTGGAAAAACTGATTTTTCAACTCATTGGCTCAGCAGCCTCAGTAATTTGCCCTGTATCAAAATATTTCATCCAACCTGAAAAAAAAAAAAAAAAATATGTTTTACCTAGACATCTCTTAACCACCTCTATTATTACTCTCAAGATTTTCGATGTTGTTTTGAGGGGGGAAAAAAAAAAGATCTCTGAAACATTTTGTTTTGGAAGTGTGGAAGTGAAACTTTTTTTAGTCTCTTTTCCAGCCTGCCACGTTGCCATATTTACCACGGCGCTAACAGTTGTCAGAGATTATCTGGCTGAGTCACAGCTTTTATGGGCTCGACTCCGGTACTCGAGACGCGAAGCAGCTCCTCTGCAACCCAAGGTTTATGTTGGCATAAGCGAGATCAGAATTCGCCCTTCTGTTTACCATTTAGCTGAATCACCCCATCACAGACCAACTGTCATCTGTCACTCCATACTTTTAATGGTACATTGCACTGATGTTGTCTATTTTTTCCCCTTCCTAGCAGCCCTGTCACTCTGGTGTGTGCTAATCTCTTCTTCCAGGCTTCTGTTGGATCTCTTAATGATGCCGCCGCTGCAATTTAGGGGGGTTTTATACCAAAAAAAGGCAAGAGAGACTTTGGGGAGCTGGAGGCAGAATGAGCTTTGCCCTGTAGCTCAGGCTGTGGACCAAATGGACCTCAGCCTTTGGGAAAGTGCCTTCAAGCTGTGTTTTACCCACACAGTCCTAGGCATTGCTGTGGCTGGGGAGCAGAGGAGGGACCCCTCCCCACTGCCAGAACCCGCCTGCATCTCTGCCACTAAGTGTGTCACGGAGAATTAATTAATTTTAAAATTATATTCTGTTTTCTGATGCTCAGGACTCACCGCAACTCTGTGTTCCTCTGGCCAGGGGACAGAAATCTCTACCCAGCACTGGGCTTCCTTGGGGCCCCGGCGGTGACAGCGTTTCCATGTTTATTAACCCTTGGGGTGACAAAGGACACGCGTGGCCCTGGCATGGCCCCCATGTCACAGTGTCTGGCACCTGGTCCGCAGCTCCGGGTGGGAAGGTGCTTTTCTAACATCCGCAAAATCGCTTTTTCTTCTCCTACTGCAGCAAACAAACTGAGAGAGCAGCGCCCTGCAAAGGGCAGTTCAATCCGGGGAGGAACTGCCCACCCAGGGAAATATAAAATATTGCAATTATTGAGACTTATTTCCTGCCCTCACAAGGGTGTGGGGGTAGGGGGAAAATTTAAGCTACAACAGCCTTCAATGAGTTTTTCTACCCATTTTCCGTCTGTATATTTAGATTGTTCATTTTAGAATTTTAGCCCCTTTTTTTTTTTTGCCTTTTTGCAAACCTCTACAAAAGATCCTGAAGTTTGTTCGTGGCCTTTCCAAAATTACCCATATGTATGTGAAACAAGCTTTAACACCGTGCAGTGAATTTAGTGTGAACTATCACTGAGCTCCAGCCTGTGATATTACCCCCTTTAGGGGGGGCGTGGGGAGCACATGTTTTTGTGTTAGCACAGGTTTTTTGTCCCTGCAAAAGACAAGTTAACGTATGCACCGTTTCGATTAGTCCAAGTTCAGGATAAAAATGGTTTTACTGGTTCATTTGCTATATGTTTGCGATATACACATAACTTGTCGAGGTCCATCTGGTAAGAGAAATAATCCTGTGTCATTGCATAATATGTGTCTGGGCGTGCATGTATTTCTCCGTGCTCCTTCTTTGTCATGATTCCAGGGTTTAATTTAAATATGTGTTTCTCTTCTCTCCATATTTCAGGTTTATTACGGAGTATGAAAATCAGGAAGCTTTTTGTTCACTTCATACATCTCCTCCAACAAAGCCAGGCATCAGCACCCCGGCACAGACTCCGGAGTGATTATTGTTACACATGATCTATGGAGCAGATAAATTACAGCTTGATTTTTATAAGGTACGTTGAGCCTGCAGGCTTCAGCAGAAACAAAAACAAAACACAACACAAAACCTTGGTTTAACTAGTAATTTGAGGAAATATGACAAACCTGACATGGAAGTCACAGAGCAAATAAATATGCACATCCATCATTTTGTAAAATAATGCCTTTGCTAGAGAGACCTCTGCTTGCTGCAGTCTGCAGCGTAACGGCTCTTTGTGGTTTACGGGTCTCAGATCCTGCTGCAGGAGGAATCAAGTTAGTTATAGTTGAAAGGAACAATTGGATGCCTAAGAAAACCATTGCCAAACAGTGAAATAGTGCAAATATCAATCCGCGCGAATCAAAACTAAGTTGATTTTAGGACAGATTATAATATTCCCGGAATGTTTAGATGTGGGTTTTCTTCATGATATGATTGCTAAAATACCGATCGGAGAGTCTTTTCTTTTATTGTAAAATAATCTAGTTCCTGGAAATAAAATCACCTGGTGGTTATTGCAGATACAAAATCCTGCTTCACACAAAATACAACAAAAGGCAGTTTCAGAGTCATCTTCTGAGCACAATAGTTTTGCTGGTGCACTGCAAAGAAATTATGTATGAAATTCTCACTTCAGGAACCAGCTTTTGGTACCTACTATTTTTCATTATTTTTTTCAGTTTGCCAATATTGGGAAGGTTTCACGTGATGCTGAGGAACACGGTCAGTGCCCTTTGTGTGAGATCTGCCTCTCGAGCAGCCCCGTCCCTGCGGGGTCAGGGAGCTGCAGATATCACCACGTTGGTCTCCACAACCCAGCAAAGCTCAGAGGGGAGGCTGCAGAAAGGGCACCGATGGGGATGTCAGTTTTGACACTGGGAGGAGGGTTTTACTCAGATTTTAAGGCTCAAATCTAACAATTTATGTCCAACTGCCTCTGGATAAAGCACAAAACAGAACCAAATGCTCCACTCCCAAAGAAGTGTCTTCATCAAAGCCACAACCCCTTCTGTGTTCCACTCCTGATCCAATGAGTCCTTGGGGTTTTCTCCATTTCCAAGGGTGCATCTTGAACGGGCAGGATGGAGGAGCCATATCACCACCACACATGCACATGTCCAAAATATCTGCCAGCCTGGAGAAGGAGACACTGTGACATGCAGGAAGGTGGGTCTGGGTCCTCCCAGACAGTGTCAGGGCCTGGACCTCCACTGCCCTGTGCCTGTTCTCCACTGCATTCAGTGAAATCCCAGAGGATGGTGGCTGGACCTTCACTGCCCTGTGCCTGTTCTCCACCACATTCAGTGAAATCCCAGAGGATGGTGGCTGGGAGAGAGTGGAAGAACCTCCGAGTGCAAGTTCCCAACAGGGCAGAAGTACAAACCACAGAGTGGCTCAGCCAGGTCAAAACTGCCGTAACTCTGAGGATACACGGAGTTGTTGCTGTAGGTATCAGAGAGCTCTAACATCCAAAGTCAGAGTGCCAAAAAGTAAAGAACTTCAGGTTTATAGGTTGGGAAGTAGGGCTTAAGTCCCTTTTGAGGTGTTTGCCTCCTTTATTAGATATGATCCACAGAGCCTGGCTGGGACGTCTGCAGGAAACTGTCTAAATTGGCTACGAGCCTCGGATCTTCCACTCTTAACCACAAAACCATCCTCCATATACAGCAAGGTGGTGGTCAGAAATATAAGTCTAATTTTGACCTCCACAGCAGCTGTGTTGGTCTGATCTTTTAGGTTTTGGTCCATATGTAAATTCCGATGTTTTGGCTTCATCCTGCAGTTCTGGGTCAGGCAAACCCCACTTGAGTCTCTTGGAGCATAGCCTTCGTGAAGAGTCCATCATCTATTCCACTGCCTCTTCCAAGTCACATCTTGCAATTTCGAAGCAAAATGCACGCTCACCACTCTCAGCATTTCAAAGCCAAAATAACTGTTTTGTGCTTCATCCATAAAATTGCCAGCTAAATTTTCATTCTGGAATCATTACTCCAGGTGTTTGTCAAGGAAGATGTACAAAGCAGACGGAACATGTTTAGCATTTCATATACGAGGTTGAGCTGCGGGAGTGACAGGTTGAAAAATCTTGTTTGGACTCATACACTGAAACCGTTTAATATAGAAGTCACTGGTGGACTATAAATATGGAAAATCAATGTGCCATATTTTTATAGAATACCCATTCTGCATGTCTTTTAAACACATTAGTACTTCCGAGAAGCTGTAGGATCTAAACTCGCCAATTTTTGCCTTGAACCTCTACAGCTCTTCAATGGGTGAACCTTCAGAAGCCCAAACGTCTGCACAATGTGCAGTTCATTTGAATGTGCACTTATATTAACTGACCCCACAAAAGCCAACTGTGTTCATTTAGGCTAGGAATTACCCAATTTGCTCACATAATCTCAGCAATTACATGTTCATCTTGTTTAAATATCAGACCTATGGTGTCATTTACGTAGTATCTGATCTTTCTACTTAACCTCAAAGATATTAATCTTTATTAAAGGGGGCGAGAGGCAAAGAAGGGGAAGAGATGCTGGTGACAGATATTCTGACAGCTAGGAAAAGTCATTTATAAAGTGAACATCAGTAAACATTAGGGGTGACATATTGATATCAGCAGCAAGAAAACGGACGGCCAAGCCAGGATGAGGTATTACACCTTAAATTGTGGCGACCATTTTTTTTCCCCAAGGTTGAGCTTTTATATTTTTTAAAGAGGAATTTACTATTATGCCGCCTGCTTCCCCTATGGAAAAATGCCAGAAATTTGACTGAGATTTACTTAAAGTGACAGCAATGCCCCATTTTGTCCAAGAAAGATGATTACTAAATGTCACGTCCATCTCCTCTCATGTGGATCACTTATTTGACATGTTCGTGTCTAAGCTTCATACTGCTTTGCAACATGTTTTCTGTTGCTCTAAGGCAATTTGAAATCTTTGTGGTGAAAACGTGAGCTGGCCAATGGCGGTTCATTAAAACAAACAAATAATAGAGTTGGGATTTGTTCCTCTCCATCCCAAGGGTGTCAGGCCAGAATTGGGCATAAAAAGCCCTTACAAAAGCAAATCAAGAGCGTATGCTTCTGGTCAGGCTGCGAGAAGGTCGTTGCTGGTGGGATGCTCGTGCCATCTCAGCTGAAGTCAAAACACATCAAAAAGAAAACACCGGTGTTTAAACACAGAAAATGACCTCATAAATTTTTCTCTTTGTATTTTTTTTTATAAATCTGTGAAATGGTACAAAAATTGGAAATGGGGAAGAGCGTGGGTTCTCCCACTTTGCTGCAGAACCAGCTTCTTTTTTGCCCATTTTGCCTGGTTCCTGAAGGGGGAGATGTGAAACCCAGCTGGGTTCCAGTGGAGCAGTGGAGTCTGTTCACACCCCCTGCTTTGCTGAGCCTTGGAAGTGACCTAAGGAAAGTGAAATGGAAAACAAGGTAGAAGGCTTTTTGCACAAAATGGAACAGTAGTCATGAATAATGAATGGATTTCTACTTTTTTTTGCCGTTTTAGCTTGTCTTTCTTAGTGGTTATTGCCTTCCAGTCCATAAGTGTGTCTGGAGGTTGATAAACTAATTCATGCATGTTTTGGAGACCATAATGCAGCAGCCTGAAGAGTGGGGAATTACGGTGTTTGATGGAGATGTCACCTCCCACCAGACCCAGCTTTCTCAGGCGGTCCCCTCAGCATTCCCGGGCTGAGGAATGCTCTCCCCCAGAGCCAGGCTCTGGGACCCTCGTCCCAAGGCCAAGTGCTCTTTTTGCCATCCTCTTACAAAAAATTCTTTCAGTCCTGTTCAAATACAGCGGTTAAGAACAAAGGAGAGGGCTGAAGTTCTGAATGCAATGAGCTAAGTGGGAATTATACACCTTTGAGTTTGTTGTAGCAGTCAGGCAGCCCACACAGATGCCCAAATATTTATGAATTTTGAGGCAAGAACACTACAGTCACACAATATAACAAGAATATTGAGTAATGGCTTATCCTGTTGCCTGCCCTGTGCTGTCTGTGCAGTCGTACCCTCAGTCACGTTTGCATGAGCAGCCTATCCCAGACTCATGGCAGCTCTATAAAATTTTAAGTTTTCCCTTGCAGTTATTCCTACAGACGCCCAGTTGCCAGCTCACCCGTCAGAACTCACAGTTTAACTCCCAGAAAACCCCCAAGAGCAACAAAACCGGCTCTAAATGTATCCCATGTAATAAGAAAAGAGGGCTTTATTTTTTTTTTTTTTTAGGGCATGGAGGAAGATTAAAGCCATTCTAAATGAAAGTAGAGTGTGTAACTGAGTACAAGATTTCCAAATAGGTGGCACATGTCAGCAGGCATTACCACAGTGTCTTTAGGTGAGCCTTTGATATAGACTGCTGAATAGTTCAGTGAGATAGATGCGACCATGAGAGAGTTTCATAGCCTTGATTTGTTTTCCAGCTCAAATAAATCTGAATGGAATAGACTTAAATTACCTGTGATTTTTCTGTCTTTAAAAGGACACATAAAAGCTCATGCGATCACTGGGCTCCCTGGGAAAAAAAAGGGAAAGGAAGGAAAAAAAAAAAAAACCCCAACCAGGAAAACTATGAAAGATTCATTTTAATGGAATCCAGGTTTAGCTGTTTCATATTTAATAATGTTTAATATTTCATTTACTACTGGGGACTCACCTTTTTCAGAAGAATGTAAGATTCGAGGCACTATCAGGCATTAAGATTTTATGTCTGACTGTAGCAATATTGTAAGGGTTGGCATTGCGGCTGCTGGAGCCCGATGCAGAGAGCCTGGAAGCAGCAAGGTTTCCTTCTTTTTTTTCCAAAAGAGGCGCCGGAGCCCCGGAAAGCGGTGGGGTAGAGCTGTGAATCCTAGCAACAGGAGGAGAGAGAGAACTGTACGTTTCTTCACGTCCTCCAAGCGCTGGTGCCTTCTGGTACATCATTTACAGGGAGCAACAGAGACCTTGGAAAGGCCCTTCATGCCGTTACATCAAGAAAGGGACAGTTTTCCCAGCAGGGTGGGTGAATTATTACATTTTGGGGGAAAAAGCAAACAAAGCAGCACACCAGAGCTCATCCTGGTGCTGCCGTTGCGCTTTCCTTCATCATCACGCGCTGCCTATCGTTGAGGGGTTTTCTCAATTTTCTATGCTTTTAGTCTTTTTTAAGCCCTTCTCAGCGATAACGTGGGCTTCTCTTTTTGAGCAAATGCTGAAAATTTACACTCAAAAGTGCAAGTGCAGGGATCTGCAAGAGAAATCCACGATTTGGCTGTCTGCAATGAAATCATGAGCATTAAAAGGGATCACCTGCGCTTTGCAGAAAGGAAACTGAGACCCGAGAACATATTTCCTGGAAGGAGAGGCTCCTTTTAAATATGCAGCAGGTCTTGTCTTGCCAATATTAAACCACCCTCTCCTCCTGGAGAGTCTGTCAATACAGTTTGACCTCTCCCTGTGGATATTCTTCAGAGCCTGAAGCTCTCAGATGATGTAAAAGGGTCCCCTGACACCATCCGAGGAAGGTGATTTTCAGTCAATTGGCTTCTATGGAGCCTGGGATGAAAAGCAAGATGGGATCTCCAGACTCCTTGGTCCCACCAGCCCGTACCATTTCCCAGCTGATGCCAGTTTGCTAGTTTTCCACACCAGTTTTCCTACTGGGTGAAGCTTGCAGGCTCTGAGGAGTTTTGCCTGGGTACCAGCAGTGGGAAGAGGGGCATTGAGAAGAGCTGGGATGCGGGGCATTCGGTTGTGCAACAGAGAGTGCTGCTCCTGCTAAAAGATGAATTCTATAGTAAGTAGCAGTGGTGGGCTGTTGCCTTGGAGTGGACCAGCTGCTGCAAGGATGAAGCACAGACTCAGACAGAAGGTTGCAGCAGAAGAGAGAGATTTGGCTCCCAGCAAGCACCGAAGCTGAAGAAGGGTCCTATGAGACCTTCTGTCTGGGAGAGGGCATGTTCCCAATACACCCCCTTCCTGGAGCAGCCAGTTTCAGGATTTTCTAAAAAAGATTTATTGCTGGCAGAGGGCAAGCGTTTTTTTTTAATTTTTTTTTTTGCTGGCAATTTCAGTTTCAGAGCTCATCGAGGGGCTCTGGCATTTGCATACCTTCCCACGGAAACTGAATCAATGTTTGACATCATGGAACAGAATCTCAGGCGTGATTTAGCATTAGTAAGCCACTAGTCATCAGCACACTGTCATTCCCCTATAGCTGACATCTTAATATAGCCAGCCCCGTGCACACACGTGTTCAGCAGCAGTGAGTTCTTACGCTCTCACCATCGTGAGGTCTTGAACATGGGCTCACACATACAGACACATCCAAAAGACACCGGACCAATAGGGTCAGTTTTCAGTGCTCAAAAAGCATTTTCCCTTTAGGTAAGAAGGGAATTTTAAGCCCTCCTAAATAATTGAAGATACTACTGATACAATCAAAAGTCAGGCTCCCTGAGATGAAAACGTCTAGATGATGAATAAGTTAATGGAACTAAAATCCCAGTCGTAGCTGATTAGGGGACCAGGAGAGTTTATCAGAGATGGGAATGTACAAGCCCAGTCACAGCCTGACCTTGTAACGAATGAGAGCTGAAAAGCAATTAATTGAGAAATTATCAGGGAAAAGCGAAGCTGTATGGTTGGTTAGGTAAAGCAATATGTCAATGGGCCCGGGATTGATTTGGCTGGAATACCTCAAGGTCTCTGTTCTGATGATTCAGGACTTGAAGGAACTGGCCCGAGCCAAGCAATAAAAATAAAACAGGGTCAGCAGAGGGAGTCATCAGTCAGCACGGTGGATCAGGGTCCATGTATTATTTAGCTGATAGTTAAGGGAAGTTATCAAACAAGAGCAGTCTTTAAATCCAACTTTAAATGCAACTTTTTTGCCCCAAGGGAGGTGAAATGAAAGGAGAGAAAAGAAAATCCTCCGTTGTGCAAACACTCGATGTCCTGAGCTGAAGCACTGAGCCTGGAGATGGCCCCAGGAAGAAGAGCTGCCAGGAGTGCTGCTCAAGTCTTCTACTCCCTTCTACTCCACTGGTATCTACCAGCAGATACCAGTACCTCTCCCGGGCCACCAAACTAACAGTGACCACCTGCCCCTTTGTATCTTGATTATTGAAACTCATCCACACCATCAGCCCCCCACGTCCTACGCGTTGGGAAGCTATTGCTGAGACCAAGACTTCAACTCATCCACGCATCAGCCTCCCACGTCCTACACGTTGGGAAGCTATTGCTGAGACCAAGACTTTAATATGTTGGTCTGAGCTGCAAAATGTGGCTGGAGACACAGTTCCTCTCCTTCACAGAATGCTTTAGGACCTGAGTATGAAACAGCCTGAATGAGAACGTAGTATCCTGTGGCTCAGGAGAACAGCAAAGCAAAACAAATTATATATAAAGTCTTCTAGAAGGAGCAGTGGGTTGGGTGAGAATAGCTGTCTCTTTGCTGTGTCTTGTGACAATTCACTAAATAACACTAAACTATGTCTCTCTCTCTCTCTGAAGACAGGAGAAAACCCCCGCGGAACCAGCCAGCACATGTTTCGTGGCAAGATCAGGGCCTCAGACACCACAAACTCTTCCTTTTTGGGCTCAAGATCCTGAGAAGCTGCGGAAAATTTGGGCAGAAGGTTTGTTGGAAAACTACAGCTAGCTTTCCCAGCAGGACAATGTTTTACATTCTGGGGTGGCTTTTTTGGTTTGGATTTTTGGGGTTTTTTTTTGAGAAAGGCTTTCTAAATATTTCAGATTTGATACTGGGTCTTTTTGTCATTTCCTTGACAAAACCTAAACGACAGCCGCCTCTGTGGCTGAAAATAGGAACGTCGTTAACATCAGAGCTGTAGCGGGGCAAGAGAGAAAGGTTTGGCAGATAAATATGAAATGTCCAGTTATGCAGATACAGGATGGGTGCTTTAATGTCAAGGCTAAGGAGTCCTGCCTGGAGAGAGCAAAATGAAGAGAGATTATAGCAGGAAGAGAAACTCCCGTATCCCCATCACAGCAGTGATGAGTTGCACAGGGCTCTGCTCTTTCCACTGGGAGGCTGGAGGGTGGCCGAGAATCCCGTGGGTCTGGTTTGGTTGTGGGTGTCTCGTGAAGGGGGACCCTAAATGGGGAGCTGAAGGAATGAAAAGAAACTAAACTGCTGCCCGTGGGAAACCAGTTTCTTTGCTGAAACTGGGCTCTGGCTGCAGGGAATGGTCAGAGTCCAACAACACTGGAGATGGGGAGTTAAAACCCTGCTACTCAAAATCAGAACAAAGCTGTAATTTTAGCTTCTCAAACCTCAATATGTAATAAACAGAAGGAACTCCAATATTTCACTGTGAATAACCACTGCTGCTGGAAACACGGGTTTTTAGAAAGAAATTCCAGCAGCAGCTTGGAGGTGAGGGAACAGCTTTCTCCCACTGCCTGTGGAGGTATCTCCACACACGCTCCTTTCTGGGACTCACAGTTTGTCACGCTCCACGTAATGCATTTTCCATTTCTCCTGACCCGAGAGCTTTGCGTTCAAGGAGCGGATCCCCCAAGTGAATTCATCAGGAGGAATAATAACCAAGGCACCAGCCAGGAGTTGCTGGGCCAGCAGATCCATCCTGCAGTTGTCAGTGTGAGGAATTCCAGGGGAGCATAAATGCTGCCTCCCTTATTTAAGGGACCAGAAGGAAACAGCAATATCTCAATATTTTATTGAAATGAGAAAGAAAGAAAGAGTAAGCATGCAGTCTAAGCAGCAGCAAACAAGACTAACTAGTAGTGCCCAGCAAGAGGGCCAGCAAACAGAATAAAGGAAAGAGGTTTCAATGGTTTCTCTTATTCCAGCAGATCCTCTCAGCGTTGCACGGGACAGCAGACGTGACCTGCTCGGGGATGTGGAGACACCTGGCACGGGGTCCTCAGTCTGGTCGGATGGGATGGAACAGGTGACCATCATGCTCTTGTATTTTTTAACTTTGGGAAAAAAGGAAATTTTTCTTTGGGAGTTATGGGAGCTCTTGGCTGGCTGTATCAGAAAAGTTTCCTTGGATCTCTTCCACTTCATGCCAGGATATTGTTCAGTCTAATGACCAGCTTGAGAGAAATGTTTCCACTTTCTAGAGTGGAGTGATTTACTACCTTACCTCTCCCAGCATTTCCATAGAGGTGAATTCCACACATTTTTAAACCTGTAGTCAGAATTTGTGCTCCAGGATCCTTTTAAAGCCAGGCTCAGCGATACTACGTACCATTAGCAGTGGATCCCTCTGAGAAAGGAGAATGGGATTTTCCCCCACTGTGATCAGCACTGTCTTTTCTGCTTTATTTTCCTTCTGGGCTGTCCTCACCCCTTTGTTTCCTCTCTGGGATGGCATCATTCCTCCCCTCTGAGGCCGAGCTGCCGCGCAGCCTCTGTGCAGCATCTGAGAGGGTACGAGGCGGTAGTGGAAGTGCTGGAGTGTCCCGGCACTAATCACATATTATCACCTTACGATAATTATCCAAGCTGATTCTGAATGAATCCTCTTTGGAGAAGGTCCTTGGCCTGCCCTCTGCTTGGCAGAATGCCCGAGGTGCCACTGGCACGAACACATGAAGACTGGTGAAATCCAAAGTGCCGTATTACGTTGCAGGAAGCAGCCAGCCAGGTGTTACCACCAAGACATAATAAATTCCTGTTGGTACGGCAGGAATCAGGAAACATTTGTAGATACATATAAAAATTCTGTCTGAAAGAACTCGGTGATCCTCTGACATTTTCCGTGTACGCTTTGGAGCTGGTGGCATGATCTTGCTAATACGGGCTGGTGCATTTGCAAGCCGTGTAGCTGCAAGATCCCAGAGACCTATTCCTTTTTTTTAAACCAAATGTGCTGATACCTGAAGTTCTTTTGAACTCCAAGTACCACTAGAAATAAGACAACAAAGGCGAAGCAGAGGTGCCCTAGTACAAACAGAGGATTCCTGGCTTTTGAAGCATCCTGCTCCGCAGAAGCTGTGCTGGGCTGCCCTCTGATCTCACACAGCGGGGGGAAATCTGTAGATTTGGCTTCTTTATTTTCTTTATTGTTTTCTCTGACTGTCAAAGACCTTCAGTATAAAGGCTGTGAGATGAGCTAAGATGGTCGTGATGTGGAAGGGCAGGAAAGTGCCCGGTCTGAAGGTTGATGTAGTTTCCAAGATAAACTAAAAGAAGAAAGTCCATGGGACACTTGACACCAGTAGCAGACTGGTGTGTACTTGTGTATGCATGAGACCACCACGGGGAGGGAAGGATGGTCAGGTACCACTGACCCATATCTAGGACTCAAAAGGAGTGCGATGTGTTCCTCGCTCTCCCATAGATTTCTTACACAGGTTCAGACAAGCCTTTCAGCTCCTCTTTTTCCTTCAGGTCTTCAAAAATGTGAAATCATCCTATTTTCATCCCTAGCATCTGCCAAAGCCCCAATGGAGGGTGGGGTGACAATCCCAGGGACCATTGGAGATGGGATCTCTGGGACCACTGGGGTATTTGCCCCTTATATCTCCCCCCATATTTATAATAACAAATCAATTTATATTTGTGATTCTCTGAGGATAAGGAAATCATTCAAGCTCTAGGCTCTAGGTGAAAAAAGGGACCCTCATTTCAAAATATTGTATACCAGGCTGAAACAGAGCTGGTGTGAGAGAGAGGCTTAGCTAAAGCTGTAAATCTCCCATTTGGGCTTGTTGTTGTTGTTGCAAAGGGTTAACAGACACTGCAAAACATTTCTAGGATGAAGTGCTAAGATTTAGTGCACTGAATTAATTCTTAAATTAGAACAGGGGATTTGCACATGATTTCTAAGGGAAATTATCTTCTGGGTAAAATTAATACAGGAGATGTTTCAACATCTGGGATGGCATTATTATGAGCAATGATTACCCAGACATTGCCAAAAGAAAGAGATCACAGCAGACTCTTTCTTTTCCCCACCAAAATAAGCTACTCACCCCGAAGGAAGACAACTATTTGCAAAAGCGCTCGCTTATTTGGAAATGCAAGAGAAGAAGTAAATCCTATATGGAAAAAAAAAAAAAAAAGCTGCATGGTTTGCTAATGGACAGTGGGGAAACAGAACTGCAGATGGTGATGATACCTCTACATACATGGGCTCCAGGCCTTGGTTTTCCTCATCTTTGAGCTCTTCATCAAAAAAAAGGTGGTTAATGCAGTGCTACAGCTGTCCAGGTGTTTAATGTTCAGAGGTTAAAGAGGAAACGCACTGAGATGTGACCCTGAAAACCTCAAAAAGGGACGATTTCTCCGTCCACTCCCCACCCAGAGACCACAAAATTCCTCCAAATGTTCCTCCAGCCTTTAGAGGGCTGGGTTTTCCCTGCCTGAAATTTAAACAGGGCAGAGAGTAAAGCTAAAGCAAGACCTGCTGGAGTTGTTTTGTCAAAACAATCCCACACCGGGAGGAGCTTATAAATATTTATTTTGCTTCAGAGTATTTCATTTTGCCAAGAAAAGAGGGGGGCGCTTGAGTGGGAAAAAAGACCAATGGCACCCCGGCCCCTGCTGCTTTCACAGGGAAAAAACACTGATGTTTAATTTAAATGGACATAAATATAAGAGAAATGCCTCTTTACTTTCATGTTAGTAGCTGGCTATTAAATTACATCACAAGTGCTACGTGTGGGACCAGGCGAGTGCATGGTTATTTCTGTCTTCTAAACCAGAGTGCAAGTCTCAAGGTAATTACTTCGGATCCAAGTGTAATTACCAACTGATCTGCAGGAACATACACAGTGGTGACATCCATTCCAGGCAGCATTAGAGCCCGATGATAACACAGCATCATTAACACTGCTTAGCACTTCCACACGTGGCTCCAGGCCACCGTTCTCCTCGGGAAAGGGCTCGCGGTTGGGTGACCCGCTCTGGAGATCTCCTCAGAAGCCACCTGAGATCCTGCCCGCGGCCCTGGCGTCTCCATGGGTGGGAATGTGTGAACAAATCAGTGCAGACAATAGCAAACATGATATTCTAATGGTGTGAAAATGAAGCTGGAACAGACTTTTTTCCAAGATGTACCTCCTTCTTTTGGCATTTCTGCAGCCCGCCTCCCTTTTTTGTGCCCAAAGCATGGACTCCCTGAGAGGAAGGAAGGTCCCGAGTCCTGCTGCCACCCCTGGGGTCCCTACCTTTTTGTTTAGCTTTTCTCTGTTTTACTCTGCTCTACTACGACAGCTTCATACTCAGATTTTGGAATATTTTCTCCCGAGCTCACACCTCATCTGTCTCCTTTTGGAAGACAGCGGAAATAGGGATTTTCTTTTCTTTATTCTTTTATCTTTTTTTTTTTTTTTCCAAGGCTGCAAGCATCACAGTAAACAACCCATTTATTCTGATGGTCTTGAAAGCTCTCTCTGCACCTCCAAGAAGGTCAGAGGAAAGCTTCAGAAGGAGAAAAGGAGAAAAAAAATCCTCCTTTCTTTAGAAAATTGCCTGGTTTGTTACCACACCTTCCTCGCGATCCAGTGCTCCAAAGACAATGCAATCAACCCATGTTAGAAACTAAGATGTATTAAAGAAAAACAATTTTTTTTTTTAAAGTTAGTGTTTTCAAGTACCTTTCATTGGCGTCAGTTCTAGCTCATAAATACAAACAAATGAAAAGATGACAAAACACAGCTTGACATAATTTCCCAGCAGAAGTGTGGGACATAAGATTATACCAATAAGCAAGAAAATCTCTCCCAGCTCCTGTGGGTGAGGATATATTGGCACACAGCTCAGGTTCAGCACTGGGAAAGTGAGATTGACAGGGTAAGTAACCCCTGAAGGAGGTTTTCCATTTGGGGCAGTCCTGCTAAACCAGGCTTGATGCTCCGAACGAGCTCAGTTGCACAGAGATTTCTCTTTTTTTTTTTTCTTTTTCTCCCCTAGTTTTGCTTATATGCCGAGTTTATCAGAGCAGCCCCGCGGATGTCAGTGAGACACATTTTGTTTTCGGTTACATCAGTGTAAATCACAACTGATCCAGTGAACTCCGAGATACCCGCTTTACAGTGATATCTGTGACATTAAGAGTTTGGTGCCGTGGTATTATGACAGCTTAAAGCCCCTCCATGAAGAAACAAAGTCAGGCTCGGCACTGTCCTGGAAGGCATTACAAAGCATGTTTGTTATTGCGAAGGAGACAGCGTTCGCCTTGGCTGTGAAAAAGAAAAGCAGATCTGTAACAGCTAAGATTTCATCTCTCCCATTTATCCAATGAGATTTCCAATCCTTGTGCGCAGATACCCTGCTGCTAACATAGCAGTCAAGATCAGAGCACTTAATCAATCATTCGCTGAGGACAAATATGCGTTATCTAAATTAGAACAAACCCCGGCATATTTTATATGACAGCCGTACAGATTTTTTAAGAAAAAGCATTGGCAAGAAAATTGCATGAAAACAAAATCGTCTTGTGTTTATGCTTAAAGTGGTAGCTTTCCTAAAAGCTTCAGCAGAACTGGGTAGCCTTGAATATACGGGGGGGCAAATTCTGCTCTGGCTGCTTTCGCTTCCACATTTTCATTAATAAACTAGAGCTGCGTTTGGCCCCTCTGGCTCTGAAGCAGAAAGGCTGCTGCAGACCTCCATATGATGTAGAGTCCTGCTTAAAAACCTTTCATATTTTATGATCACTGTCGATTCTCCTATGATCAGCGCTGGTTCAGGCGCTCATGAATCAAAAATCAGCTCGTGGCATGCATCTTCCAGCAACCTATTTGTCTGCGGGTAGCAAAGGAAAGTGGTGCTTTGAAGAATAAGCCCCTTCTGCTTTCAGAAAGAACTGTGGGCTGCACGGGGTGCTGGAGCACGAGCCGGGGGCTTAGACCTCCTCTTCAGGCTCGGCTCTAGGTGTGCTGGGTCATCTCGTCTTCTCCCATTTTCCTCTGGGTGAGATATTATTTATCCATGATAATAAAATACAGGATTCTTCAACTGCAACTCGTGGTTTCATCTGTCGTGTCAACTTGCACAAGCTCCCCTGGCAAAAAAAAATAAAAAAATAAAGTCAGAGGCATTAAAAGGAGAAAAAAACTAGGCATCTTTAACTGAAGCCACACAATATTCATCAAAGGTGAGGACCTTTTTGCACGTGAGGTCTCCATAGAGGAGCATCCCAGAGATGGCCTTTGAGAGGAGATGACAGCAACCTGGTCTAGTGGGAGGTGTCCCTGCCCATGGCAGGGGGTTGGAACTGGATGATCTTTAAGGTCCCTCCCAACCCAAACCATTCCATGATTCTCTGATTTTATAATAACTACTGCACGGCCCACAGCACCCATCGGTTTTGGGAACTCTTCAACATTGGGTACAAACCCAACAAGCAGCAGGAGGGCTTGAGCTCAGCTGAGCCACTAGCAGAGCAGCCAGCACAGCCTCCTTGAAAGGAGAACTTTAGCAAAAATGCTGAAAATATCTACTCAAACATCCCTTTCCCACTGCAGAGTGGGCTCTAAATAGTTGCTCTTAGTTCTGCCTCTGCTTTTCTGGAAGAATTAAATGCTCCTACAAAAGTTCACCTCTCACCAAAACCTCCCATGGAGAGCAGATTGCAGTCTATTGCCAGGTCTTGGGACTTTTAAATAAGCATTTCAGTCCCTGCATCAAAACAGGTCTGATCTGGAATGCAGCAGGGCTCTTCTTCTCTCCTCTGACTCCAGGTTTTGGAGGGACTTGTGCGGTTCTTCAGGGACAACTGTCAAGATGTCAAGTTCTTCTACCAACCCCCTTGCTGGGGCAATGCGCTGCCCTCAGGTTGGCAAGTTGGATCAAATTGGTTTGGGAGATGTTGGTAGAATCCATGACCCAATGTCACTTGAATTAAAACCAGTGGTGAATACCCCAGAAATGCCTGGGGGAAAAAATTCAGGGAAACACTGAGGACTTCAGAAAAAAATTATCTTGGGTGTCTAAGCAGGAATTTATATATCTACTCATTTATTTTTGCATCCAAAGGTTAGATATGGATTTTACTTTGATCTCTAAGCAGGAGAACCAAGTCTCAGCTTCAAAGATCAGAGCTGAATGTGAAATTTCCTTACGCTTTAAGGAGAAGACAGAGCCATCATTTTGGGGTAAGTTCACCTCAGTGCTGAGAGAAACCTGTGCTTCTCTGAAGCCTCCTGGAGTTAAAACCCAAAGTGCAGATACCTTCCTGTTTGCACAGACACGCTCCTTAAAAAGCAAAAATCCTCTCTCTCTTTTGTCTCTGGTAAATGAAAGAACTTCTGCCTCTTCCCATCCAAAACCAATATATTTTTTTAAGGTGCTGACTTTTCCCTTGTTTGCATCAGTTTCAGTCTCCCAGCTCTCGACAGCTCCAACCAAATGTCTGCCCGAACCCTGGTGGCCCAAGGAACTGGCATGGCCAAGGCATGGTTTAGAGCAGCTGGAGAGATAGGGTCAGCATCACATCTTGGATTCCCCACCCTGATTTATGAGGTACCACGACAGCCCTGGGGGGAACGGGGTTTGCACGAGTCCAAACTGACCCCATCTCCCTGGGAAAAGAGAAGATCACCACGTCCTTGTCAGCGCTGGGCCTTTGCCTTATTGTCCTCTCTCTGTTTTGTGGAGCATTTATGGAGGCTGGAGCCAACTACCTAGAGAGGAAAAAAAAAGGCTCTGCAGGTCCCAGTGACCTGGGAGCAGTGCTCCTTCTTTTCAGCATCCCTATGATTTCCAGAAATCAGTTGGAATTGTACTTGAAACTTAGATGCTCAGTTAATTCCCCCCACAAATCCCTGCCAAAGCACCTCAATGCCTGCCTTGACTTATTTTTTCAACTTAGCTTTGTTTTGTTTTTTTTAACTTCTCAAGTTTTGACTCAGTCCCTTGAATGGGAGGCTGCTGTGTGAAGGAGCACGAGGATGGACTGGAGCATCTAAATGGAGGCCCCCAAATGTGAGCGTTTTTCCCTTAACCTTCCTGCACCATTGGGAATAATAATTCCTCGCAGGGCTGTTGCACAGCTTGATTCATTAAGGTTTATGAAGTGCTTTTAGCTCCGGCACTGGAAGGCTCTGTGCAGGTTATTTTGGACTGTTCAGGTGTTGGGAGGAGAGGCGCTGCAGAAGGAATACAAATAAATCAAGAAGAGAAACTGCCCCTTTCCACCATCCAGCCCCTGCCCCCCACTGCTCTCCATCACTGTTGGTGTCAAACAGTTAATTTACAAGCCCAGCATTTTACAAAGCCCCTGGAGCACCAATTGTCCCTTTCTCATGCAACATCAGCTCCTCAAAAAAGCCAGCTGAGTCTCCAGGGGTCACCCTCTCCTGCCCTTCCCGAGGCAACTTCAGCCCTTATCCAAAACCCCCTGGACATTTAATTTTTGGACAATTCTGATCCAGCCTCACCCCCTTTCAGCACGATGCTGCAAGCACCAAAATAGCCCCAGGGGGCAGGGTGGCTGCTCTTGGGGCTCTGTGCCTGGCCAGGGAGGCAATATTCAGTTGGGGAAAGGTGTCCCAGGTCTCCCACCCAACCCACCACCCACGGAGGCAGCATCCCCATGCACGGCATAGGGATGGTGCCACCCAGGGAGCAAGAAGTCACCCAGGGACAGGGGAAGGCACAGCCCAGCAGGACAGACAGGGACATCAATAGGTAAGGAGCAGGGTTTGTGGCTTGGGAAGGTAAAGGCGGTGGATGTCTCACATGGGGTGGGTTTTTTTCCCTCCCTCCCTGGCTCCGTCTCCCTCCCCTCCTCCAGTCTGTTGCACGGGAACTGCCGGCCATGCTGTTCCAGTTCAGGGGCTCCTGCAACAGAAAAGATCAGCTGTTGGAGAACCCATGGAAAGCCCTGGGGGAGAGCCATGGCCGCAAGGTAATCAGCAGGCAAAGTTATTACCATTATGCTGCTAATTAATTCCCAGCTCATTACGTTTCCTGTGGCTAATTTGTACTCGCCGCTGATTTGATTAAACTCATCTCTATGCTAATAAATGTGTTTTCCATTTGTTTTAGCGACTGTAGGAAGAGAGCCCGGTATTTACATATTTTGACGTTTATCAAATAAAACGCGGCGCCTGAATTAATTCTGCTCTGATTTATAAGTGGAGGCGGGGGGAAGGGGAGCGAGGGGCTGCTGAGGGTCAGGCGTGCATCCTGCGTGCGGCGGGGAGGGGGCTGCGCCAAGGGGTGATGCTCAGGGGCATTTATTGCCCCCCCAGCCCCATCCTGCCCCAGGGACGGCTCCTGCAAGGTGTGTGTCACCTCATCAGCCATTTATTTCCCCTTCCCGACCAAGTTTCAGGACGTGGGGCTTTGACTTGCAGGCACGTCGTAGGGTTCGCCAACTCCTCCTCAGGTGGATTTTTCTTTGTCTTGCAGAAATTGCTCTAAACGAAGATCAGATTTACACTGCAGCACCTAATTAGAAGCAGTGACTTTGTTTCCCAGTTCCCTTTGGCAGGACTCGCTACAGTAATACCGGGCAGCTTGGATTTATAATCAGGTAGGGAGGCTCAGACACCTTGCGATGCATACGTATAAATATCTATATTTTAGGCATGTGTTTTACACTCTCTCCCCCTGGTAGAAAGCTCTATCTGGCCCACAAGCAGCTGCCTTTTAAACCCAGGACTAAATCTTTAGGGCAGACCTTCAGCCAGTGAAACTCCATTCAGAGCAGTCGTCCTGCTTCATGGAATTAACTGCTGCAGTGTCAGTCTCCTCTTCATCTGGGGCAAATCCCAACAGAAAAAGACTCTGAGAGCGTTAAGTGAGTGGGATTTGTGCTTTACGTCACCTAAGGGTATGTGAAATCTGGCCTTTCCTCTCCTGGCAATTGTCACCCAGCACATGTCTTGTCTCTGGGCGTGTGTGCTCCTGTGTATCGTATCGTGTTGGTGCACATACATATATATTTATATATCACAGGGGCTGAAGGCCAGACCCTCTGTCTCAGGGAGGGCTGGGATGGGGGCAAGGCAGGGAAATGCTGGAAAGCCTGGGGCTGGAAAAGGCACGCTGGCTCAGCAGGGATGTCTGAGAGCCCAGGGTAGGTCTGGCTCATCCCACTCCTCCTCTCTGGTCTGGTCTGGAAGTTTGGCTCGATCCAAGAGGGATTTTTTTCCCCTCAGAGTGCCCACTTTCACCTGGTTTCTCTCCCGGGTGCTTCAGGTTTTCACTCACGCCAGCAGCTTTCGTTCACACCCCCAGTAAAAGTGTCCCAGCAAAGAGGGGCCCTGGTGATGCCACTTCTCACTCTGGCAGTGAGACACCTTCCACCACCGCTGCTTCCCCCCGGGCAATCTGCAAACAGCTTGATTGCTTAAGTAACAATTAACAGCCTTGTCTTTTGGGAGCGCTTCTGGTGTGCCAGGCACATCCCCTGTTCCAGACCCGGCGCTCTCCCGTGGTGTTACCCAAACTGTGGACATCCCCCAGCTCCTTCCCACTCCTCATCCCTCAGCATGGATGGGCCATGATGGGATGCACCATCCCACCGAGCCCACCAGAGCCATGAGGGTGCTCTCTCTCCTCTTGCACTTGCTCTGAGGCTGCACGGACACAATCTGTGCTGCTGCCTGGGATGCACAGGATGAAGGAGATGCTCCACTGGTCCAGCTGGATCCAGCTCATAGCAACAGCTCTCTGGGTTGTTTCTAAACCAGGTTCCTCAAAGAGGACCTGGAAGAGACCTGTCTGGACCAACCTGTGCTCAGGTGGGGAGATCCTGGTCCTCAGCACCGCCTTGGCTGCACATCCAGAGACCCAGGCGTTGAGCAGGATTGGCCCAGTATTGCTAGAACAACCAGCTGAGCCACACGGCGGTGTGATTGCTGGACTTTTCTCTTCCTATAAAAGGTTTTAAGCCTTTGCAAAACCGGGAAGTATTACTGAGAGAAAGAAAAAACCTGCCTTGTTTCACATTAACAGTCTTTGCTTTTCCTGGTGAAGGTGGGACAATAGCCACACACTGCATGTGTCACAAAGAACGGACCCAAAAGGCTTCAGCTCAGGACAAATAAAAGTAACATTGATTCCTTTTTATTTTTCTTTTTTTTTTTTCTTTTTTTTTTTTTTTTTCCAGCTGGTATCAATACATTAAACAGCCACGCTGGAAAAGTGAAATTGATTCAAGGCCTTCAGTGCTCCCTGCCAAAAAAGCCTCCTGCAAGGATCTATTCTGTATTGAATTACAGTCTGGAAAAGTTCAATAGGTTATTGTACAAACAGAGAGCAAAAGCCCGTCAACAATGGAGCCCAAGTGATTGTGCGGCTCCTTTGTGTTCGCCAGCCCCGTGCCCCTTGCAAGCTCGGATGTTAAATCAGTTTAATTAAAATGGTGGGCTTCAAATGCTTCGCATTTTTTTAATGCACGGCCCTGTGTAAAGACATGTGGGCTGAGCAGGTTAAAGCCACCAGCCTGCGCTGACAGCATCCCTGCTCCCTTTCTTGCTCCCGAAATTGCTGCGGGTTTTTACAGCTGCTGAGCACTTTGGGCAGGTGATGGATCTGAACCCCCTCGTCCCCAGCCCCATCCAGAACCCCCACTGTGTCCCCCACAGCCTGTCCTGCCAGGAGAGCTGGCCCCAAGGCTTGTCACCTCTCCCTTTAGCAGAAGGTGTTGGTGGCCTCCATGAGCTGGAGACATGTACTGGGTGGACAACTGAGGTGTGTCACCCTTGGACCAGCCCCTCTCTCTGCGGGCTAGAGCCGTGTTTTGGGGCAGAATGTGGGTAGGGGACTCAGCTGTGGGTCCCTCCAGCACTGGTGTCCCCCCCGAGGGGACTGGGTGAGTTCCTCAATGCTGTGGCAGGTTTGTCACAGGTGGTGCCGGAGGGTCTCCTCCTTTGAGTGGGCAGGAGGCATGGCCCTGTGCTACAGCACAGCTTCTAAATCCCCCTCTCCATCTCTAATTAAGATTCAAATTGAGTATAGAAATCATGTGTAAGTAAGATGCTAATTATTAAAGTCATTGATCTCCCAGACAATAAAGCAGACTCACTTCTCCGGGCCTGCCCGGGTTTTGAGGCGTCTCTGAGCCCTGGTGATGGAAAACTGGATATCTGGATATCTGGAAGCCACATTTGAGATGTGTGTAAACGATTGATTTTGCAGGGAGGCGAAGGCCCCATTTTGCTTTGAACAAAACCTCTTTATGGCACCCTCAGCCCCAGACAACCCTGGCTCTCTTGATAGCTCAGCTCCCAGTCAGGCCACGCATTAAACTTCTTCCCCCACCTCGCTGGACATCTCCATGTCCTTCTCCAGGCTGCACCACTGCATTTATTTTCTCCTTGGAGTAAACAGGATTTTCTCCAGCTCAGGGCCATCCTGGAGGAGGAGACCAGTGTTTCCCAGGGGGTGCAAGATGTTCGGGGACATGGTCCTATGGACCATGGACAATAGATGTGCAGGGATGTGTGTGCAGACACCAAGCCCGGTGCTTTCTGGAGACACAAGAGTCACCATCCCTGAGTGCGTGGAGCCCCAGCCCATCACCCAGCACTCGGGGCTGAGGGCTCTGACCCATCTGGCCACCATGGCCCCACGGCTGGGTGAGGTGGCCCAGGCAGCAGGCACATTCCTCCTGGGCTGGTGGGTTCCTGCTGGACATCCCACATTCCTCCAGCCATAAAATCAGCCCCAGGAACAGAGAGCATGGTTGGAGAGACCAGGGCTCAGCAGGGATCCTTTGAGAGGATGCTGTCTGTCTGTCTGTCCATCCTCTCCACTGTGAAGCTCTCCCTGCCATCAGGGTGAAGGGGACAGCCTTGTCACAGTGAAGGGAGGTGGCACAGCCTGGCCAGGCTGCAGGAGCAGGGCTGGGGGGTCTCTTCATGAGCCACGTAGCAAACCCACAGGGGGTTTGTTCCCTCATCCTCCCCAAATTAGACAACCTCCGTGGCTGACCTACCCAGGAGTCATGGGGCTCGGCGAAAAAGGCACACATAGATTGAAAACAAAAAAAAAAGAAATATATGAAAAAAAATATATGATGGCTGAAAAATTACAGAGAGAGAAAATTACAGGGAAAGCAGAGCACAAACCAGTATGGGGCCAGGCTGCAGGGTGGGAGGGCGAAGGTGGCCGGTGCTTTAGTGGCCGCGGCAAAGGCAGAAAGAAAAGGCTCGGGCGGTGGAAGAGGGGGCTGCTCGCCTGGAAACACAAAGTGCAGTACCACGCTGCACCAAAACGCTGGAATTAACATCAAAGCAATCCTGGAGCAAATGAGATTACAGTATGCATGTTAATGAGGCAGCAGCGCTAATCAGCAAGGATGCCTCGCTGGGAGGGCCGCGCTGCCAACTTGTGATTTCTGTTGTCAGGCTGGACTGGGCTTCCATTTGGAGCGAAGATTTTGTTTGGTTTAAAAACCATCAGTATTTTTGTGGGGTTTCTGGCAATCGCAGATTTGATTTGATTTCTTCAAGTAGATGCCTGGCCCTCCGGGGTACAGAGAAGAACTTGGAGATGGGATTGAAGTGGTCCCCAGAGCCAAAGTGAAAACCACTCCAAAGCCAAGGAGCGGATGAAAGTTACCCAAAATGTATTTTACTCTATTTTTAACCCTGGTTATTTTTAAGCCAATCTCACCAGCTTGCAGAGAGCTGAATACATGGCTTTTGCACAGTGCATTTGTGCGTTATGCTTTCCTAAGGAATATGAAGCCGCTCAAGATCTGAGGGGTCCAGCTCTCCTCACACTGGTAGCAGGTTTTTTTTCAGTGCCCCAGTGCTGGTGTCAGTTGTACCTCACCACTGAGCTCCAAAACTGGAGCTTTTTTAAGTCAAGAGCCCTAAAAAAAGCACTTCCTTGGGAATCATGTGATTGCAGGCAAAAAGCTATAAAAAGGGGCAGTTCTTCCCCAGGGAGGTTTGCCTGGGCTGGGGAAGAGGACGGCAGGAAGGTTGGGGTAAGAAGGGCATCAAGGAGAAGGAGAGGACGAGATAAGGAAAGGCAGATAAGCTGCTCACAGGAATTGAAAGGGCAGGAACCACAGCAGAGGACGGGAGTGAGCCCTGTGCCTGAAACCTGGGATGCTCTCAGAGGCCAGGGAGTGGATTCATCTTGGTCAAGGAAGCTTTGGGGCAGGGACAGGGAAAAGGAAACCTTTCTGGAGCTTTTCATCTGTCTCTGTGGCAAACTAACCCCTTGGGCACTGGGGGAAGGCAGAGAACAGCCCCACCAGAGGATGGGGATGCTGCAGCATGTGCCACAGAGGGGCAAACCCCCCTGGGGACCAGCCCCAGCCTCCTCACGGTCCCTCTCCAACCCTTTCCATGGAAAATGCTATTCCGACCAACTCCCTTTGCCAGGAATCTAGGCTTGTTTTGATCTGTTTTTCAAACAGCCTTTCTTCTTGATTGGAGAAATTGGCTTAAATGGGGGTCTATCCCTTTTCTCGAGCAGGGCTGCGATTAGTTTCTGCTTCCTTCTCCTTTCACTGATGATCTCATTTGCTGAAATGGTGAATAAAACAGAATTTGGGGTATTTGAGTGTTT